GCTAGGAGAGGCTGTGGGGAATTGAGCCTGTTCAGCTTGGAGAAGAGGTGGACTCCCAGTGCCTATGGGGAGCTTATAGAGAAGATGGCATTGGGCTCTTTGCAGTGACTAAATTGAAACAGGAGTGATTCAGATTAGATATAAAGAAAAGCTTTTTCACCATGGCTGGGTTGCGGGAGAGGTTATGTGGTCTCTGCCCTCAGAGGTTTTCAAGACCCAGCTGAATAAAATGCTGAGTAACCTGGGCTGACCTCACAGCTGAGTCTACTTTGAGGAGGAGTTTGTATTAGAGACCTCCTGAGGCCCCCTTTCCAGCCTGAACTACTCTGTGTTTCCATGGTTCTGTGATCCAGCCAACCTCTAGCTCAAAATAAGTCAGCAGTTTAGTGGCAACAGAGGGAGAACTTTTTCTTCCTTTTAAAACTGAAGATTTACTCCCTCTCCCTGAAGATAGCCTTTCATGTTTAAACTAGTCTCTCTCACTTTCTGTCGCAGTAGATGAGACGAGCGCATGGTGGGTTATTTTGACTTAGTTAAGGAAGAGCAATATGTTAAAGGAATTTAAGTTGTTTGTGAGCTGATGTTCAACCATAAAGTGGTTTGAGTCACATTTAAACCTTTAAGGATTTATTTTAGCTATTTTTAAACCACTTTATATTGAATGGGTGTATTGTGTTTCTAGAGACTTGCCCTCAGTTTATTTTGATTTTAGTTGTAAAAACAAGCAGGTCTTCCTAGTGGCAAGCTTGAGTCATCTCATTACTTAACTCTAAACAAAGATGCTGCATACGAAGTTTAGGTGGCGTGGACAGTTGTCTCTTATTCTCAGGCTCACTAAGAACAACACCATTTTATACCAGTGAATCCCACAAATTAAATCAAAGTGGGAAAGAAAGAGTTTATCACATTTTTAAAAGTAGTAATGCATATATATAATCAGTGAGGATTACAATTTCTACCCAGTATCCATTGCTTGCTTGTCAGTTAAGTCTTATTTACGTCTAGAGGGAATAAGGGAAAGGGTAAGTCTGCAGCACTACTGCTGAAAGTATCATCAAATCACTCTGGTTTTCAGGATCAAAGTAAGTATTTACAATTGCTGATTAGAAGGCCCATGTATAATAAATAGACTTAAAGCTTTAAAAGCTCACTGGAGATGCCTGCTTTTGCTCTCCAGGATTTTTCCTTTAAATAATGAAGTACTTCTTGTAAACTAGGAAAAGTACTAGAAATCAGCATTATCTTAAACTTTGCCTAAAGGGGATTGCATCACTTTCAAAAACTGATTGTATTCATCTTTGTAGTCATACCTAAGACTTTCAACATATTTTTAAGCTCAAAAATTTTAAATTGAATTATGTTTTCTCTCTAATCTTGGAGTGATAAGTGTATGTCATCACCATATTGCTCCATTAAAATATTTGCTTACTCTGAGCCATTGCTTCATTTCTCTTCCTGAGTGCTGAACACATGCTTAGCTTAGTGCTACTTTATGATTTCCTATAGGTACCTTCCATTTCACTCCTTTTGACAGGAATAACCTCTCCTTGGATGGCAAATTAAATTTCAGATACGTTGCTAATCTGAGTCAAAGAGGTGAAGAGATCTCTAAAAGTACTGTAAGTTCTCCACCGCTTTTCTTCTGATAGTTGTTAAGGCCTGATCTGTGCAAGAAAACTGATTCAAAGCACCCAGCTAAAGGTGTGTTGAGATGCAGAATTCTTTGTATTGCCATCAAATAAATTGGTTTTCTGTTTGTATTTGCCATCAAGCAAGTTCAGTTTTCTCACTTTACGTTATCCAGTGTTTCCTTCCTAGGTACAGGTTTGTGTTACTGCCGGGGCAAGCTGTTACTTGTATTTATAAATGCTAATACTACTGTTAGCATTGTTTTTATATTATAATGCTGAAGAAGAAAATTATAAAATTATCCTGCTGATAAATTATATTGTGTTAAGAGTGGAACTGTTCTGTGTCTGGCGATGGTTTGTTCTACTTACCGAGCTAGTGGGATCATCATGAGCAAAACATGTATTTTTCATTTCTAAAAATACAACAGAAGTTACATTGTTTCATGTGTAGGTTTGGAGTGTTTTAAGAGATGTGTGTAAGAGAGTTAATTTCAGCTTCAGGCTCTTGGATCAAAACTTTCTTGGCTTATATAAGATTAGTACAATAAATATATGAGTAAAATTTTGGTGTTTTTTCAAATTATTTTTTAATTTAAATTCTTACTATGAGGAAGCTATTAGGACACTCGAGCATAGGTGTCTAAAGCTATTTTAAACTCTCTGGAATATCATCTCTGGCTCCCTGCAACCTCTTTAAATGGCACATATTCTCCTGTGTTTTGTGCCATATCTACAGCCAGATGTTTTGGATATGACAATCTAAAATGGTCCCAGACACCTGTATTTGGATGCCTGAATTGCTTTCTAACGGATTGCTTTTTGTTAGATGTTTTCAGATGGTTATAACACAAGATTACCTTGCTTCAGGAAGGAGAGAGGAAATAAATAGCCAACTGAGAACTTTGGACTTGTAGAATAGTAAAAGCAGTACATTTATTTAAAAACAAATAAACAAACAAAACAAAACCACCTGGAACCAAAAGGAAACAACCCCCCAAAACCAATAAAGCAGCCACTGGCACATCTTGGTATTTTAAGAAGAAGTATTAATGCTTGAACTTTGAAATACTAATGTAGCTTTTAATGGTCTCTTACTGTAATAAACAGTTGTAGCTATTAATTGCTTGAAACACAAACCTTTTAACATTAATTTATATTTTTTCTTTAATTACTTGGTTAATTAAAAAAGTTCTTTCCCTTTGTACATTTTTTTTAAGCTTTATTTATTGTTAGTATTAAAGATTCCAGAATAATTCTGAACTGATTTGTCATCTGACTTGAACTTGTACGTGTGTCAGGTGAGACTGGGGGGAGTCTTGTTTTCATTTTTGTTTTTCTTATTCTGTCTCCCCACAAAACATGCCAAACCAAGGAAGGTGACTGGGGGGGGAGGGTCTACAGCAAGATATATTTAAAGTGGGTGGAATTGGGTTTAAAGAAGTTGGTTATATCAAAGTGTATTGTTTTATCACTTTTGTGGAAAAAACTATTAGAAGTGGAACAAGCTACACACAGGTATGATTTAAAAAAAAATCAAACAATAAAGTGTTGCATTTGGAGGAAGCTGGTTGCCACGAGGATGCAGGCAGGCTTCATTTTGAGATAGTGTCTGTAGGTTGTTTGTAAAAAGGGTTATTGTCCGAAGAGCAGATGAGGTGATCTGTTGTAGGTAGTTACGTGAAGTACTACCTAATGCTGAGGTTTTGTCATTTCATTTCTGAGAGATGTTTTATAAAGTAGACTTGGTTTTGCAGCTGATGGATAATTTAGCAGGTAGAAAATTGACAAATCTTAGAGAATTTATTAAAGTGTCTATATTTTTAAATACAATATTCATGGAGACTTTTTGTCCTTTCTGGGAAGCTAGAGGAAGTATGGATTCAAGTTCCATGCGTCCCAAGAATGCACTAGGAAGGCAGATTTCAGCCATGGAGATCCCAGGATAGCCATTTTGGAGAGCCTGTCATTGTATGACATGTTAGCTACCACTGTGAACATTGCTCTTTAGCTCTGTATGTGACGCTTTTCTAGTATCTGCTTTTATTTCTTCCTTTATGTTTCCAGTTTCCAGTTGGTTTAAATTTTTAAAAGGGTATGATTTCCTTGGTTTTATCGTATACGAGGTAATACTAGCGAATTTCAGGTTATACGAACTATAAAAGATAGTTTTCAACTGAAAATATCCTTCAACAAGAACTATGGAATTTATGATTTGCTGTTACAGATGCTGTCTTCTAGATTAAGTAGTGCTTTCTTGCTTAAAATATAAATAATTTTAAATGTTACTTAAATATGAAAATAAACTATTTGTTGTCAGTATCTAATAAGGAAGTATCTAATGGAAGACAGTAGGCTTTTTCAATTTTCTTAGACTGCAGTTTGGCAGCCTGACTGCAATTGTGTTTAGTAAATTTCTCTTCATAGAAAGTATGCTTTTACCCAGGACTTCTGTAAAAGTTTTAGTCATACCAATAGTAGCAACATAAATCTAAACCAGAACTGGTCAGCAAGCAAGAGGCACCTCCAGAGAAAAAAAAAAAAAAAGAAAAAAAAAAAAGATGGAAGAAGTTGAAAAAAGAATGAGTAATGTTGTGAGGATTGTTCCTACGGCTGTGAAAGACATCAATGCGTAGTACAGTAGAAGAGGATAATTTTTTTTAAGAGTTTAAGTAGAAGGTATAGAATTCAAAATACTTAATATTCTGTCAAGTTACATAAACTGTAGTCTTTTTAAACTCATCTTTTCTTTGAAATACTAAGGGAGGTTGCTAAGGGGTGGGGGGGTATGTCAAGTGAAATGGCTGCTGCAATGGTGTTATGCAACAGAGTTAATTTCGACCTACGCTCTGCTTCTCTGCAGAAGAAGTTGAAGAAGAGTCTGAAACTACAATTGAGGTTGATTTGACTGATAAACAGAAACATCAGCTGAAGCACAGAGAGCTCTTCCTTTCTCGCCAGTATGAGTCCCTTCCGGCAACACATATCAGGTAAGAAAAAGCAAATACAATTTATCTGTGTGTTCTGTTGAGGTGGATTTCCTGCCAGTAGCCCACCTGCTTGAACGCTCCAGCCTTCATCTTGCAAAAGGATGCGATTGATCACAGCTGAGTTGTGCCAGGTTGTCCCATGAACTACTTTAGAAATTACTTTGTTTTTTCCTTCTGTTACTTCATGTTTGAGCAAGGGGCAAGAGTCTCAGAGCTCTGTCTCGCCATTAGACCATCAGTTCATAAAGTGATATCAAGTCAGTCTGTCCTTACTTTGCAAGAGGGTTTTTTTTTAACTGTTCTTTTGCTGGCCAGAGGAACTTCAACTGTTTTGTCTGCCCAGGGAAACCACAGATGGGTTTGGAAAGGAGACAGTGACTCAGTGGTCAGATCTGCAATTTAGGGCTGCACACATTTAAAAATAAAATTACCCCAGATTACTTAAGTAAATGTGAAGAAGTCATGATGGAGTTGGGCTAAATGTTGCAAAAGCATTTCAAGAATTGTTTTAAATTGCCCTAATGCTAATGTAGGAAGAGGCTTGCTAAAGCTCAAAGAAGATTTGTTGATTTCTTTCTGTAAATGATGTAAGTGCTCATGTCATCTCCTATTTAGCAGTCAAGCAAATTCTTTTTGTATTGGGTGGAGTGGGGAATGATGTACCTAGAAATGGAAAAGAAAGAACACAGTGACAAGGGGGAGTGTAGCGAGTGGAAAACAAGGGCTCTTGCATTGCATTCTGAAGGAACTTTCGTTCTTTCATTACATCCAGCTCCCCTCAGCCGTTCAGACCATAAATGACAAGAAGCTACCAAAAAAAAAGTGTATTTGCTCCAACAGGAGAAATCCTTTATATGTGCATATATATTTTCTCCCTCATTGGCACATGTGTGGCTTATCTTTCTCACTGCCAACACAAACCTGGAAGTTGGAAATTTTTGTATTAATTTGCTGTGCTTGATTCAGCTACTTGTTCTCTGACTTTGAGAAAGTCATTTAACTGTCAAATCTCTGATTCTCCAACTACAGCATAGAGATAATAATCCTGCAGAGTTTCTCTTACTTACTTTGACATTTAGATATCGAAATAAGGTATTCTCTTTGTGGAGAGAAGATTACATAGAAGAAGTATTGTAAATGTCTTCTCACCTCAAACTCAGGGAGCAAATACAATAGAGGTTCTCCAGTACGTACTTCACAAAAGCCAGAAAAACACGTGAATTCATAGTACATGCAGCACTGCACAGCAGACAAATGCAGAGTGATGACTTGCATCTACTTTTCAAAACAGATGAATGCTGTAGGGCTGTGCTGTCACGTGTTGCTAAGACCTTTACTGGACGAACTCTGGACCGAGCTTTATGTAGTATAATGACGTTTTAACAATTTTGACTATTTTAAAAAGAAACAAGAAGGAAAACACACTGCAAAATATTCCTTATTTAGCTTTTTTACTTAGTAGTGTTCAGATTCTGTGGTTCTCAGTAGTTTTCATAACTTTTATTAATTAGCTTGTCCTGTAAAAGAGGATAGAAATGTTGTGAATGTGTTACTCCTCCAACTTACTCCCGTCAGTGCTCCAGAATATCCAAGGATGGAGATTCCACAGCCTCTCTGGGTGTCTGTTTCAGCATTTGACCGCTGTCATTATTAAATTGTTTTTCCCATTGTCTAACTGGGATTTCTCTTGTTGAAACTTGCTGTCCACTGCCTCTTGTCCCATCAGTCTGAAAGGAGCCTGCCTCTGTCTTATTTGTCTATCTTTTCATTAGGTAACTGACGACAGCAGTAGGATTTCTCCCTTTAGTTGTCATACCTTAAGAGTGAACAAATCCAGTTTAGTATCATCTGCAGACTCGCTGAAAGTGTATTCAGTTAACTTGTTCAGATTGTTAATAAAGATGTTAAACTGTTGGCCCCAGTATCAGCACTTGGGGGGTACCTGCAGTAACCAGCTGCCGGCTGGACTCTGTGCCACTCACTACAACCTTTTCAGCTTGGTAGTCTGGCTAGGTTTTTTTCCAACCTTATTGTCTACTTCCCTAGTTCCATATGTTACCAATGTGGTTAAAGGACGCTATAGAACACACTGCAGGCCTTGCTAAAGTCGATGTAGAAGACATTCACTGCTGTCACTGGTCTAGCAAGCCAGTCATCTCCGTATAGAAAGCTAGCATGCAATGAAAGTCTGAGTAGCTCCATTCTGGGGGCCTCTGCTCTTACCACCTGCAGTTTTAGCCCCTAGATAGGAACAGTCGGATTTACAGGAGAAAATAAGTGGTTCAATGGAATAGAGGGGAGAATGGAGATCAGCTCTCTCAAGAGTAAGAATACAAAAGCACGGTCACTTTGGAAGGAAGAGGAGAAAGCTAAAAGTGATTTTTGTGAGAACAGAGGAGGCTGAACTATCTGTAGTTGCTATTGGCAGCTACAGATCTTGAACTCTTACTGGTATCTTCAGCCAAGAAAAGAAACTTTCGGTTGCCTTTCTGCTTGTAATTTAAGGGAATAAAATATTTTTACTTTGTGTGGTATGTTTCTGTTTAGATTTTACTGATATACTTCTACTGCTTTTGTTTTGTTTGTCGTCTTAACATTTACTCTTTACATTTTTTTTTTAACTGAATGGCAGAGAAAATTGCAGCCCTGCCCACCAACCCTGGGACTGAGATTACTTTTATTCTAATTCACAATTACAAATACAGTATTGCCTTATTTATACACCCGATACCATTACTTTATTGTTGAGATGCTTTGCAGTTATTTTAGCAGGTTAGATTTCTTTGACGTGCAAGTCTAATTCTGAAGCTCTTTGGTCTGTAATGTTGATATTCAAATAATTCTGATGTAGTTTGTTTGCTTTTGAATTACTGAAATACAGTTTCATTCCTTATTCTCATACATTTTATGTTGTTATATACATTATATATAACTCTCTTGAGATACAATTTGTTTTGTTATAAATATTGGTATTTTTTAGACTTACTCTGGCTTCCCCTTTGCATTAGGTGTCACTATGCCATTTTAGTAGCTTTAGGAAGTGGTATAAGTTTTGGCACCAAAGAAAAAAAGCCAGTTTTAGAAAAGAATTAGAAGCGGGTGGTATAGTAGTAATTAAAAATGACAGTGCTGCCTTGTGGACACAATGTTCTTGCAGTGGAATGTATTTAAGATATAATTGCCTACCTCAGTGCAGCACCATTCTGGAGCGATGGCATGTGGTATGCACTAGTTTGGGTCTCAAAAACAACGCTTGCTACCTTACTGCCTACTGCCAAGTTACAAGTGAAACTATTCCCTCCCCTCTCTGCTCAAATGTGTAAGGTTTGTAGCATCCCTCCAGTGAAGTTTCTCCTTCCTTCCTAATCCCTGCATGTTACAGCTGCAGTGTAACCAGGCACTGTAATCCCCAGATGTCCTTGTAACAGAGTTATACTGCCAGCCAGACTTGCTGAGTACTCTCCTTCGTTAACGTCACGCAGTAAATGCACCCAGAATTCATGCAGATGGCTCCTGTAAGCAATGCCAGTCCCAGAGAGGGGTTGAGTTGAGCTGAGCTGAAGTGTTGTGTACTTTAACTTGGGTTTTCAGAGGTTTGAGCATTACCAAATACAGCATTTTGGAAAGGCATGAGAAGGCACGGAGGGGGGGAAATGTTGAAAGTTGTCATAAAGGTGAAATTGTTTGCCAGTGTTGTAAAATTCACCATCTGCAAATGGTTATCTTGTTAGGGAGATGCACTGGTTTATCTGACTTGGGATTTAAATTTATTTTTCATTCTTAAGGTCTCAAGAGTTAATAGGTGGTAAACATGTTTAGATTGCTGTAAAAGATTGCATTAGCTTCTAGGATCACTTGTAATTGCTTTTAAATTTAATACTTTATATGAGTTCTGTAGAAGAATTTATCCATGAGGGTTCATCTTGCCATTGCATTATCTTTGCTTAGTTCATGTTTGCTAATAATTGTGTTTCAGTCTTGGGGTTGTGGGGTTTTGTGTATTGCTATTTTAGATGTTTGGAAAGCATACATAAGCCAAGCATTCTCAGGTGTCGAATAAAATCAGGTGTGAATCTTTTGGGCTGCTCTATACTGTATTAACACAGCTCCCCCCCCCCAACCCCCCCCCAAGAAAACAAGCAAACAAACGAAAAACTAAACCACAACTCATTTATGCAAAGTAAAAAGAGGCTTGTATGCAGACTTTCACTAAAGTCAAAGCAGTTTGAGAACGGAGAAAAGCTGCAAAGACTGGTAGCCATTTGTGAATAAATAAAAATGAAATTTGATAAATTACTTCTGTTAAACAATCTTTCTGGTAAGTTAAAGTTTGAATACAAGTTTTTAAGAGTTCTTCCCTGGGACCAAAGAGCAGTATGGGATTCTCATGAGCTCTTTTGTTGCTCTTTTACCTGATTCAGGCCACACAATTTTCTGCAGTGACTATTGCTGAGATCCCAACTGCTTGTGCTTGAATTGAATTGTATATTTCAGTGAGACATCCATGCTTGGTTGAAAAATTTCCAAGTGATGGATAATTTACCATCTTCATTATAGTTTTATCAGTTGCTAAGTATATGTGTTTGTACCTCGGTACTTTTTTTATAAGTGCAGGAATTCTGATCACATAAGGGGTTTTTTTGTTTGTTTGTTTTTGTTTTTCTCCTGGACACTGTGTTTTCACTGAGTACTTTTTGCTTTTCTTGGGCACAATTTCAAGATGCTGCAGTTCTTGCTGAGCTTGATTTCTGGACTCAACAGGGCTGTGTATGATAACTGTGCATTATGTCCATATTTGTCATTATGGAGATTATTCAAACAACTGTAATAAACCTACTCCCCGATCTTTAATAAAGAGTATTTACTCTGTCATTGGATTACCTATGTTTCTTGTATTTTTTTTAGAGGATTATATTTGTTGCTTCACGTAAGCAGCAAATTCAAGCTTTGTATGTACCTACGGGCTTAATTCAGAAAAACTTTCCAGAACCTGATTCTGA